CAGATGACCTTTTTGAAGTCCTTTTCCGAAACAGTGACTCTCAGAGCTGGATAACACTTGCCAGAGTTCAGGCAGCTGGTGTCCGTGTCTAGGAAGAAGGTTGACACTAGGGTCTCCCCTGTTTCCCATTCTACACCATCTGCTTTTCCTGGCTTGAACGCCGATTGGGATGTTCTGTTCTAATTAATCCTATCTTTTTCCCTTCCAAGCCCTGGAGGTAGGTAAAGAAAGGATGTTCACTGAGGCTTAGTGTCTAACACATAGTCACTAGCTGCATTTGGCTATTGAATTTTCAAACCAGTTTCAATTAAATAGAATAAAAAATTCAGTTCCTCAGTTGCACTAGCCATGTTTCAAGTGCTCAATAGCCACATGTGGCAATGGACATTGCAGATGTAGAACATTTCACCATCGTGGAAAGTTCTGTAGGACATTGCTGCCCTGAGCCTCTGCTCCCTTTTCTCCTGTATGATTCTGACCTGGAGAATTGGAAGCTGCTACTCCATTAGGCTGTGGGCCCCAGAACTCACTGGCTATTGAGAATTCAAAAGCAGAGAATGAGCAGAGGGGAAATGCCTTCAATATCCACTTAATATTCAGTCCAGTGCAGTGTTAGGCTCTGAAGTCTTCTGAGTGTGACATCTACAGTCTGAAAGCTGCCCCCCAAGCCCTTTGAGTTCTGGCCTGCAGCAGGGATTCTGTTCTGCTTACCTGCTCGTCGCCAAATCCCTCTAAGGCATTTTCCGGGCTGTGAGCGTGTGCCAGCCTAACCTGGTTTTCTGATCTCAGTTCCTTTCCTAAAACACCACAGGACCTTGGATGTTTATGCTGGTGCCACCCCTGCTGCAGTGCCTTGTGGTAGGCAGCTGCTGTCTGTACACAGGCTTTCCTGGCAATTCTTCTTACTCTGTGAAAAGATTCTGGCCACTGGGGTTGGGAGGAAGCAGGGACCTGTGTCTTTCTGGGGAGTCTGTAACAGGGATGAGGTTTTCCAAAACAAGATATCACAGCCTTGCTTTCTTCTCCAGACCAGCCAGAGGTTGTCCTTCTAGTCTTTCGGGTCCACCCCCATGGTACCATTTATTCCCCATGTGACAGCCAACTTCAGGTCTCCCCAGGGAATCTATTTTACCTGCTTTCTCCAGGATACCAGGATATCGAGAAAGAGCTAAGAAGAGAGGCCAGAGAGAAACTTCCTCTCTTCCTGCTGGGTTGCTAAGCTCAGAGACTATGAGTGTAGGGTGGCCAGAAGCCATCCTCCTTACCTTACCAGGACAGCCAGCCTGTGAAGTGAATCTCAGTGGAGTAGAAAAAGGGAGAGAAAAGGGAGCCCTGAAATATTATCAGGGCTCCTAGCACAAACTGTGTTGTAATACTTTGCAAATGAATAGACCTCCATGCCTGGACTTTGCAGTTATGAGACAATCAATGCCCTTTCTGCTTAAGTTAGTTTGAGTTGACTCTCTGTCATTTGCCGTGAAAGTATTAGGGTCACTAGGACAGAAAATTTGTGGGGAGGATGCCTCTGTCTGAAGGCCAAGTTCAGGTTGTGGCCAGACTGAAATTACAAGTGACCCAGAGGCCAATCTCATTCACAGGTTTTCCTTCCCGAAACTCTTTTGCTCCGGATATTTCCTTCTCTTCAGCTCCTCAAATCCTCCCCATCAGTCAAGACCCTGGTTAGACTCCTCCCCTCCAAAGCCTTCTCTGACCACTTCAGCCTGCAGTGAACTCTCTACCTTTTTCCTTCTATTACCAATTATGATTATCAAAGAATTGTGAACTGTCTTATAGCATGTCTGCTTTCATTGTGTAGCATGGCACTTTAATAATTTTACTGTTTACAGTTTGCTACCTTCTCCCACCAGGTCAATGTCAGAGACAGCGTCTGATGCTTTTGTGTTCCTGGCAGGAGCCAGCATAATGTCTGGCATATAACAGACCTCATTGAATGTTTGGGGATTAGAAAATTTGTGGAAACATGATTTTAAGGTAGAAAATAGCTGGGATCTTATCATGTGAGAGCTATTGCAATGTGTATACAGCTCTTTTTAGTTGAGAGATAAGCACTTAAGCACCCACGATGACAGTAGGTTGCATTCCTCTATTAAGGCTATCTGGTCTCTTACCAGACAACTCTTTCATATCAGGGAGTGAGGCTGGAAGAAGGGGAAGAGTGGGGAGAGGGGCAGGGTAGGAGTGGCTCTGAATCAGCTCCTCTTTGGAGCTCCAGAACTGGCTCAGGAGCCATGCTGGACAAACTGCAATCCTCATTCCACTGTCACTCTTCATTCTGGATCCAGTTTAAACAGGTGGATATGACATTTCCACCAGACGTGGGTCTGAATGGCATTCTGCTATTTCCCTTACATCCTGCCCCAACATTAAGAAGTCCAGGATTTTCCAGCATTGAAGCCATTAAAAATAATTTAAAGAATTTTTGAGTGACAAGAAGATCCTTGAGATAAGCCTATATCCTTGTTCTTTGAAAGCAATACTATTTGAATATATGAATTCTGGGTCATTGTTTAAAAGGGAGAGAATCTCTCTCCTCCTTTCAGGTGTGATAATAGTCACACCTGAAAATGTGGCATTAGGCCCTCAACTATTCTCTAATTGTTTTCTGGCTCTTCTCTTTTTGATTTGGTTATAAATTTCCTTCCTGGGGAAAGGCCATGTCTCATACTAAATGTACATCTTCCAGCAACCAGGATGCTCAATAAGTGACTATTGGATGAATGCATATTTACCTAGACAAACAAATGACAAAACCCCCTAACATTTATTAAGCACTTACTATATCCAAGGCACACACTTAAGTACCTTACTGCTATTATTTCATTCTTAGAGATGTATATGTGTGAAAATCACAAAGGGAAAAAATAATTATATGAGGGTGACTTCTAGGGCCTCTTTCAGCTATAAGATGCCCTGACTTGATGTGGCATTAAGGAAACTACAATATTGAGGTGGGGCTTGGGAACCTAATACTTAGACGCAGAAATATAAATAATATTATTAGCAACCTCTTTCTGTGAGCTAGGAACTATGCCAAATACCTTAAAAATATTTTCTCATTTATTCCCAAACAACAACACTATATGATAGGCACTACTGCTAACCTCATTTTTAGAAGAGGAGAGTGAGGCACGAGGAGATTAAGTGGCTAGTCTGAGAAGCAGTGCTAGCATCCAGGGGTATGGTGTCTTAACCACCATGCTCCCAAAGAGACACCAAAGCCCTCCATACCTGAGAAGGTGCCTTTCCATTGGGCCACAGGGATGCAAGGGATGGGGAGGAGGGAGCATTGCCATAGAAACAGCAGGATCCTCTATCAGGAGGGTTGGCACATGGGGCAGCTGGGGCTGAGGAATGCTCTGGAGATAATTCCGGGGCATCCAGCCTCTTTAGGTCTGCAGGAGTCTGTGAGCCCAATAGTAAGCCAACTTCCCACCCCACTCAGCAGCACTTGGTAAACCTCAACTTGGCTCCCCAGCAGGGTAGGACAGGATGTTCTTTGAGTTCTAGCAGCAGGACTATTAGGCAGCAGAGTTATGATTAGGGTGTAAAAATCTGTGGTTGCCAGGCACAAACCGTGCTTCACCTTTTATAGCCAGCTAGCTTGAGATGTCAAAAGTATTTAGAGACTTTTGCTTTTTTTCTCTACTCATCAACTTTATGACCATAAACACATTCTTCCTGCTCTTTCTGTCACACATTTACCAGTCCCTGAACCGAGTTTGTAACTCATTTGTGAGTCTAGAAGGCTTTCTGAAGTGCTTTAAGGTATTTCAAACCAGATTGGTTGAGCAGAGTAGAGTGGGGGCATTTCTTTCTTTCCTCTTTTTTTCTTCTTTTTTTTTTTTTTTGAGACAGCGTCTTGCGCTGTTGTCCAGGCTGGAATGCAGTGGCGCGATCTCAGCTCACTGCAAGCTCCGCCTCCTGGGTTCAAGCAATTCTCTGCCTTAGCCTCCCGAGTAGCTGGGATTCCAGGCACCCGCCACCACACCTGGCTAATTTTTGTATTTTTAGTAGAGACAGGGTTTCACCTTCTTGGCCAGGCTGGTCTCGAACTCCTGACTTTGTGATCCCCTCAGCCTCCAAAGTGCTGGGATTACAGGCGTGAGCCATCACACCAGGTAGGGCTATTTCTTTATTGGGTTTATTTTGCTTCAGTTACTCCCAGCTTCTCTGCTCTGGCCTAGCGGCTGGCTCCTTGGGAGCTGGGGTGGGATATTTTGGTGGTAGAATGAGGTATTTGGTGGTAGCATAGATTTAGGCTGCAGACAGTCCTGGGTCATGTCCTGACTCTACCATTAAAGACCACATGACTTGGGACCTGTGACTTGACCTCTTTGCGTCTCAATGTTCTCATCTGTAGAATGAGAGAGAATGAGCATCTGCCTCAAAGGATTGATTTGAAGATGGGGTGAGAATACTTATGAAGCCCTTAGCTCCGTTCCTGTCACCATATTCTATCTCCTAATTTTCTTAGTAGACCTAAGACAGCCACAGACCTGGGATAAGGGTATCTGAAGGAGAGGTTATGAAGCCAGGCTTTTCTCCCTAGATAAACTCAGAGGTCAAGGATAAAGAAAGCTTGTTGTAGCAGAAAGATCCAGATTGAGGTTTCTTAAGATGGTAGAATCCAAGACTTGTAGGATTAGAAGAGATCCTGGAAATCCTGTAAGACTGAGAAGATGGCAGCTTTGGTGCAGGAAGGTGGAAAAGATAGTAGACCAGGATGACCTCCACAAAGAACCACTCAATTCGAGGTTTTGATGGGAGTGCCTGGAGGCCAAGAATAGAATGGGGCCACGTGGGGTCTTTGAGCTCAGTCACTGCTCGAGTGAAAGCACAAAGTTACCTTATCCTCCCTTGGACCAATTCCTCATTTTTCCAGGAGGAATTGCTGGTGACTTGGGAAACCCAATGGAATGGGTCCCAGTTGCCCTAATCTACTTACAACCAACCCATGTTTCCTGTATGGCCTGGCACAGAAACCAAAAGAAGGTTGTGCAGATCTGGGGGTCACAGCTGTCCTGTCCTCCTTGAACAAGCTAGAGAAGTCTAAGAGGAAAACATCAACAACCAAAATCACAGTCAGGAAGAAGTGCCTCTATCTGCAAGTAACTGGGCAATTACCTGCTAATTAAGTTCTCAGTTTGTTTTCTGAGGCTTAAAGTGTAGTACTTGGTAGATGTGCCCTGCCCTGCTTGTCACCAAGGTGTTGAAGATGAAGCATTTCGCATGAATCAAGATGGAACTCTTCCATCTGATTAAATATAATAGCCTGATTTATTTCAACATCATGAGGTCTTAAAAGCAATGCCCTTTTATAGTTGGAGCACTGGGAAGGATTGCAGGGTTTTTGAGTCCTCTGTATCTGGCGGTGGGGGAAGAGAACGCACCAAGAGGGGAATAGACACGCAGAATACACAACAGTGTTTGTCAAAGTATGGACTGTGGATTTATCTCTTTTGCATCTGAATCGCCTGCCCATTATGAATGCAGATTCCTGGGTCCACATCAATCCCAAGTAAGAAATTTTCCACATGATTCTTCAGAACATGCAGGTTTGAAAATCTCAGGTAGGGGTGGAAAGTCTTTTGGGGATATTAACATTGATCTATGAAGTCCACAGACCAATCAAAACACCATTTCAGCCAATAGTGTCTACACCTACCCCAGGAAATCTTTTGCTTTAGCATTAAACAGATGAATGATGGTTCAATGTTTATACCTCATCTCCCTGTAGGTGGAGATGCAAATAGAAAAGCAGCCTAACAGCCCGAAGGCAGTGAAGAAACAGCACGCCTGTGTAGAAATCAACCCCCAGATCATCAAAGGCAGGTGTCTGCGTGCCAGCTCCCTAGTCTCAGGTGTTGTAAACGCTGACCACTGCCAGTTTATCTACTGATAACGAAGGTGAACATAAGCAATCTCCAGAAATTGTTCACACGGGGCTCCCAGGTTCTTGAAAAACCACAGGAGATTGACAAATGCTTCTATTGTAGACACAAACGCAAACAAACAGCTCATTTCCTCAAGAGCTCTCCACTGCAGTGGCTGTAAACAATATAGGGAAGGAGGGGAGAAGTCTTCTTTTCCCCTCCCCCACAGCTTCTTCCCCTTTCTGATGTCAGATTTTTCTGACATTAAGAAGTCCAGACTAGGGGAAAGAAGCTATTAATACAGAACTTCAGGAAGGGGATCCTTTTCCCCCAGAGGCCAGGGCTCTTTCAAAGTTTGTTACAAACCCTCCTGTTTTTCTAGTTTCAGAGAGTCTGGGGCCCTAAAGCTTTGAATCTCTGAGTGTTGTGAGACATTGCATTACAGTGCTTCTCAAACTTCATTCAGTGTGCTCTGGTGCTCTGGTGAAACACAGAGCTGGGTCCTGCCCACCAAAGCTCCAAAGATTCCAGATTCTAATAGATTGTGATTATAGGCAGCCCCCCTCACTCAGGAACAGGGGGTAGTAGCTCACATTACACACACACACACACACACACACACACACACAAAACGCGGCCAGGAGCGGTGGCTCACGCCTGTAATCCCAGCACTTTGGGAGGCTGATGTGGGAGGATCACCTGAGGTCAGGAGTTCAAGACCAGCCTGGCCAACATGGTGAAACCCCATCTCTAGAAAAAATACAAAAATTAGCTGGGCGTGATGGTGATGCCTGTAATCCCAGCTAC